TGCTGACCCACACTACCCTGCTTTACCTGCAGCAGGCGGTCCTGCTCTTTCTGCCACCTCTCCTGCCGCTTCCGCTCCCCTTCCTGATCCCACGTCCAGCGACTCGGGGCACTGATGGTCGGGACTGGAAGCTGCCGAGTTACAAGAGAAAAGGTGCAAAGCAGAGAAGAATATGTTACTTCATTACGGTTCGCGGGCCTCTCACTGCTGTGGCCTCTCCCGCTGCGGAGCACAGGCTCCGGAGGCGCAGGCTCAGCGGCCTTGGCTCACGTGTCCAGCCGCTCCGCGGCATGTGGGATCTTCCCGGACTGGGGCACGAACCCGTGTCCCCTGCATCTGCAGGCGGACTCTCAACCACTGCGCCACCAGGGAAGCCCTACTGAAGGACTTTTGCATACATAAATTATTCATATCACCCTTGGCATACGCTGTACTAAAGGAGGGTGGGCTTTATATATCAAAATAGGCCTCTTACACAAATGAACTTATCTACGAAACAGAAACAGAGACTCACAAACATGGAGACCTGACTCGTGGTTGCCAAGGGGAAGGGGGAAGGGGCAGGGGAGGGTTGTATTGGGAGTTTGGGATGAGCAGATGCAAACTATTTTATATAGAATGGATAAACAACAAGGTCCCACTGTGTAGCACAGGGAACTGTTGATATATTCAATATCCTGTTATAAACCATAATGGAAAAAATATGAAAAAGCATATATATATGTAACTGAATCACTTTGCTGTACACCAGAAACTAACACAACATTGTAAATCAACTATACTTCAATTAAAAAAACAATAGGTCTCTTTACCTTGGAAAGGTACTCCTGGATAAACTCTCATGCAGCTTAAAATAACGGTAAGTGATGCTACTGTGTGCTAATTCAGTCCCACCCAGGCCTCCTTGTTTATTCCAAAACCAAATGAATACTACTTACATCAGGCACCACAGAATCGGAACTTCCTATATTACAGCACGTGGGCAAGGAAAGAAAAAGAAAACAATATAAATCTTCATTTCTATGAAATAATTCCTTTCAGAAAGTTGTATCACTAACTGTCTCTATGCCAGTACACTAAGTGACATCAGTTTTTTCAAACAACAGTACATTTCTCTCTTTAGTTCCATCTGTTTGTTACTCATCTTCCAAATTCAAAGTCAGTAAAAAGAAGAGAAACAGTGGATGTCAAAGTTTCATCTTATCTCTAGGTGCTAGAGCTGAGATGCTGGTGTACTTATTTCTAAGGGTTCAGGGTTCTTTTATTAATAGAGTGGATAGTATTCTCATAACTTGGTCTAATAGAAGAAAAATTGAATTTCAAATATTACAACATCTACCAAACCCAATTTTTTTACTTGCTGCTATTCAATTACATTGTGACAGGTGTAAGTCACATTTTTCAGGTCTTATTGCTAAGGAGCTACTTTTCTGAAATAAGCCACCAACAAACACATTCAAGAAACATTTCCCTTTCCACTCTTATTATTTGAAACATAAAATATTCAGACTTCATGTGTAAACCTATGGGCAGAATGTTATTCTTTTTATTCTTAGGGGGCCTACATAATTGTTTGTGCCTGTATGTAGTACAATGATTATAAACACGTAAGCAAATTTCATAAAAAAACACTACCGTACTGTATTTTTAAATTTTCCTGAAACCTCAGCTGTCAAATAAATTATTCACTTACACAATCATATTTTTAAGAAAACTGCTTTGAGATTTAAGAAAATATTCTTCCCTAAAATAGTCTGTTGAAGAAAAGTGCGTGAAAATGGAGAAAGAAAAGGAATTGCTTTATTTTAGCCAATTTGAGCTAGGCGTATCACACGGTTTCAATTAAATTACCATAGAGTAACAAGAGTTGAACAAAAATTATCAAAAACACAAAGGACACTGACACAAATGGACCCTTGTACATGCAGAGCTGGTAAGCTACTTCTATTTACGGTCAAAAAGAGATCTTAATTCACCAAAAGAGACTACGAATAGATTAACACAAAATACACAAATCCAATATGTACCATGTTATAAGGCAAGTTTGGAAATATTTTTGATAATCTTAAAAGTAAGAAATAATAACATTTTAGACACCAACAGCACACTCCCTACTGACTGTGCCATTGCATCTCAAATGTTGGATATTACTTTTAAGCTCTTGACTGCGAAGCACAGAGTTCAAACTGCACTCATGAGACAGAGCATTAGACAAATGTGAAAGGGGAGGAAATGCCACATGCACGGCACATTGTAACGCAGCACTGCCCGACTACACCAACAAAGAGAATCTCAAAATGTACTTGTTTACAGATGTGACCAAATTTACAGAGCGGTCCTATTAACACTCCAAAGCCATCATCCCAATAGCAATCAACAACTCTGTTCTTTATTCAGAGCATTTTCCAAAACCCAAAATTTGACTCTGAAAGTTGGCCAATTGTATGTTGGTGTAATCTAATATTATGCAATTTGTAGGAAGCAGTAAGGCATAAATGAAATTCCTCATTTCTTACTGTCACCCAGTGGCAAGTAGTGTGTGTTTAAACAGCATCTCAATTTTTTTAATTAAAAAAAAAAACAAAAACTTCAGAGGTATACAAAGGACACACAAAGACCCATTACCACAGAGGTAGACCCATGAACTGTAAGAAAAGCCTGATG